GAACGCAGAATATGCACGAAACGGAAGAAAGACCCTTTACCGAGCAAAAGATATCAACGACATCCGTTTATCCGTTTATTATTTGGTTTACTTGATTAATTACAACACGATGAACCAATAAATTTTCGATAGTTGAATTTCAATTAGAAAGATTTTTAATTTTTTAGCTTTGTTGGTATAGCGTCTAGCACGGTAGTTAGAAGACGTCGGTTCGAATCCGGCGATCCAGGGAATTTTTTCTGAGTGTTCGATCTTTGTATTAATAATTATAACAATCTAGTGGAGTAAATTCACAAAAAATTATTGAACATCAATAAAAATTTAAAACACTCTACAATCGAGGTGATAAAAAGGTTAGTTACAAAATATGTGAAACCAACTTTCGAAATAAGAAAAGGACATTGAAATAGAAAAGTGAACTAATTGAGGAACTAAACACAAAGCCTATAAAAGCCTCCAACGAACAGCAAGTTTGAGAACCTGTAATGTAAATGACGTAAGTATAATAATAGTTTCGGAATAACCACAATGTCCTGCCTTTATATATACGTAATTATTTTTGCGGGAATTTTTAAGGAAAAATGTACTCTACTTAATCACCACTAACACTACTCATCATTGAACATTTTAGTGAATCACTTTGAGAAGAACTCAGATATTAACTATGCTTGTTAGTTTTAAGTTACTTTCATTACGTGAAAAATTGATATTTGTAATATTTCAAAAATGTAGAGCTTTTCGTGGAACGAACACTAGAAAAGTAAAGCGACTATATGGTTTTGTAGGTAACTAAGTACCTACATACCTAACTGGGCAACTGAAACACTTTTTCCTCTTTGTAAATTGTTTGTCTACGATATCGACCTTTAAAGGCTAATCAATGATATAGTTATAAGATCATTGAGCTTAGTTAATTTGATTTCAATTGTGTTTGAATGAAACTCATGCCCACTCATGGTCACAAATGGTGCAATTAGCAGATGAGGTCTCGCATTCGAATGGCGGAAATCATTATTTAAAAAGGTGCGTGACGTTATTACATTTCTTTCTTCGTTATTATTAGACCATAACAGATAACAAAACAGAAAGTATAGCAAATTAATATTATAAATGACGAAGAGCAGAATAGCATAATGTTTGTTTAAATGTTCTATCAGTGTAGCAGTGGCCAGGCGTGAAAATTGTCTTATGTAAAGCAGGAGTGAGACCAAAAAGCACCTTAAAAAAAAGTGACGCTTTGGCAACACAACATTTATTAACACACAAGACACAAGTATACTTCATTTTACAGGTTAAGTTGTTCTACACATAAAATTGAGTACAGAATGTGGTAAATTACTTTTTTCACCTCAGCAGCTCGAACAAGGCTATTTTGCTGTGTGAAATCAGTGAGCAAAATCTTATTTTGCTCACTCCGTGAGAAAAAGTAGCTTTTTGCTTTTTAAGTGGAGACTTGTCATTTAATGCGAAGGGGTCTAATACAAATTCGACATATTTCAAAATCAGTCGCTCCGTCCCTTTCACTTCATTACAAGAAAAAGGAAAAAGAAAATTATGGTTTATTCGTACTTCGATATTTAAGCTACATAGTAGACCCCCACAAAATGGCTGAACGAGTGCACGTTCGGAAACTCGTCAATTCATCTAAAAGATAAATTATGTGAGAAATACAAATACGATTTTATACTATGATAATTTAGTTTTTACAATTTTCATTAAAAATAAAGCAAGTGTGTATTTTTGTAAATATACAATGATGCATTTGCTTTCATGACGTGTTTTTATTACTTGTCCCTTTAGTATATATATATGTTCTCGCTGCTGAGGTGAAAAGTTGTATGTATCACGCGAGAGCAAAGTTATTTTGCAGCTCGTATTTTTGAGTCCCTCGCTTCGCTCAAGATTCTAATTCTGAATCACTCGCTACGCTCGTGATTCAACTATAGAATCTTTCGCTTGCTCAGGACTCAAAAACAGCACTCGCACCAAAAAACGACTTTGCTCTCTTGTTGAACAAATAACTATTATAACATATTTGCTCGTAAAGAGGCTGAAATCACACCAATTTCAACATCGTAATGTATTTCATTACGCACTTGTGCGTTATTGTAATGTAAAACGCACAAGTGCGTTATTGTAATGTAAAACGCACGAGTTTTTTTTTTATAAAGTAACATGCACGGTTTTTTAAGATGCTCCGTCTAAAAATGAACGATACTTTTTTAAATCTTTGCAGAGTTTCTATGTTAGAAAAGTGGTCAATATTTTATGAATAAAATTAACTTTGGGAGATAAAATATAGTAAATAAACATTTAATTCTTTCATTTAATTAAGTTTGACAATAAATTACAACCATTTATCTGTAACAAAAACACAAAAATATTAATTTACTTTATTAGTAATACTGGCTATTTTTATACCTTTGTCTAAAAAAAATGTTGATGCGCGCGCATGGCTAATTTGTGGACAAGTAAAAATTATTTCGCGCGCTTTTTCTTTTCGCTGTATTGTTTTTATTTGAAAATGTCGTCAAGTAGTGATGAATTTATTAATTTGACACCGCCACAAGTCTTAAACGCAGCGAAAAAGGCTACTCTAAGCCTCTTTCTTACCTGAAAAATCGACCGATAGATACTTACAAGCGTATCAAAATTTCATCATATGGAAAACAAGCAAAGATGCAAATTCATTTTCAGAAAATGTGTTTTTAGCCTATTTCATGGAACTTTCTCAAAAATATAGGTCAAACTCATTGTGGTGTTACTATTCAATGCTAAAAAACATTATGAAAACAAACCATGGTATTGATATCAAGGCATACTCCAACTTGATAGCATTTCTAAAAAGACGCTCAGATGGCCATGTAAGTAAAAAGTCGAAAGTATTTTCGGCTGACAATATCAAGAAGTTCCTAAAAGAAGCTCCGGATTGGCGATATTTGGCAACAAAGGTCAGTTAAAACTAAATTATTGTTATTAATTTCTTTCACTTTCGTATTTCTTTACAATATAGGTGTTTATACGTTCTTTTTACCTCTTTTCAGGTTGTATTAATATTCGGTATAAATGGTGCATGTAGACGTCAAGAGTTGGCAAACATAACAACTAATGATGTCGAGAACCATGGGCGGGTTCTTCTTGTCCAGGTCAAAAACACAAAAAATAAAATTCCAAGGTCGTTCACAATACAGGGGCCTTTACGACGTAGTGAAGAAATACGAAGCGCTTCGTTCCACAAAAACTAATTCCAATAGATTTTTTTTTAAATTACCAAAATGGAAAATGCACTAACCAACCCATTGGCATTAATAAATTGGGAGCAATGCCGAAAGATATTGCCACTTTCTTAAATTTGCCTCAAGGACATGAATACACAGGGCACAGTTTCAGAAGGTTCTCGGCTACATTGCTCGCCGATTCAGGCGCGGACTTATTGACACTAAAACGCCACGGAGGATGGCGGTCAAGCAATGTAGCCGAAGGATACATAGAAGACTCGATAAGGAATAAAGTAGAAATTAGCTCTCGCATTACAAGGAACATAAATTTGGAGTCAAGTGTTGACTTTCAACCCTCTACGAGCACACACGCGTACATTCCACCATCGTCGCGGCAACCGCAACCGACTGCAGAACTCTGTGGTCTCGTTTCTCCTACTTTCACTCAAGAGAGTGAGAGAGAGAGACTGGGGAGATTGTAACTAATAATAATAACTTGACAACATTAATAATGCCAACTGGCAACGTAACAATCACTTTTAAAAATTGTTCAAATTTCTATAACTGCTTTAACAAGTAATTAAAGATTTATTCGTTTAAGAAAGTCAGAGACTTATTTATTTCCTCGCAAATATGTTATAAAACGTCGTATGTATACGTGCGCTTTGAAAATTACAGCCGAGGCGATATTACTAGGCTATAAGAAAGCAGAGGCAACTGACCGCACTTATATCACAATGTACTATTAAATATTCATAATAATTGATAATACGTGGAAAATTTTAGGGAAGCCGGTGGGAATCGAATTATATGGACGCCTCGCCACTGCAGTGTAGTTTTAATACACATAACGAATTAATATACAGGGCGAAACAAAATAATGGGACATGAAGGGGAATGTGACATGTTAAAGTTTTGTACCTCAACTCTTAAGAGTTGTTGTTATGAGTTAAACTGTAGTTAACTACAGTTTCATAAGACTACGAATTTATGGACGTCTTTAATTGTACGACTCAATGTTTATTAGAAAAAAAATCCTTTTCACTGATCATATCGATTTACAATAAAATACTGAGTGTCTTTTTTTTGTATTTTAGTGAGTTTGGTTCCCGGCTCTGGTAAGCTTTTAAAACAACGGTGTATGCAATGATTAATACTAAGGAAAATAAAAGAATGTTTAATTTGAATAAAATTAGTTTCTTAAGCACAGATTACTTAACAGTTTGTTTAAGTATTTAAGGTAGTTCCCCTTCATCTCCCTTAGAATTTTTCCACCATATAGTAATATAGGGTGGAAAAATTCAGTACAATAACGTATTACACTAAAGTTATCGTACTGTTTCTGGTGGTGCCCTTTGATCTGTGGCATACTTTTTAAGGGTTATTTGTATTACACTAAGTTATCATACTGTTAACGGTGGTGCCGTTTGATCTGTAACACACTTTTTAAGGTGAAGCTGTGCGAATTTTTAATCACATTTTATTTTTACTACTACTAGGATTTGTAGTCAGTTGTAAATAATTAAGTAATATTTCTTTGGCTGTAAGAAGGTACACATACCCTGTGGTGTGTATATTATTGAAATACATTTGACAGTGAACATTCTTTGCGGTAGTAAATGTAATATAGTAAAAATTAATCAGAAGAACAGGACGCGAGCCAAACGCACGCCCCCCCTCACTCCTCCCCTCATACCGCTCCCCTACATTCAGACGAAGGTGGCCGAACGAGAATCGATGTCACACGAAGCCAGTTTGTCGGCAGATCCGCTCCCTTCCATTAGCGCGCTTTCGCCTGCCGCAAAACAGTCCTCACCTCAGGCAGTCCACGTTATCGCCAACGAAAACTCCGCTGCATTGCAAAGACGCTGGTGAAACTAATCCATTAATAATATAATAACATAAATAATATCAAAATCCATTATTAAAATGAACAAAATAAGATCCGGTGTGAAATAAAAGCGACCAACTGCATTCCACTTTTTCTCCTTGTACTGAATAAAGAACTGTTGCAAAGCTGTATAACTTCTGTGTGATAAACCCAGTGAGATGTTGGGGCAGAGTTTTGGTTAAAAAATTGGTTCCTGTCGTTTTATTAGACTTATTGCGAATGTGTATTGAAACGTTCATAGCGATACACGGGCGCACTGCTATGCGCCACGACTTAGTGCATTTTATCCGACATACATCATCTGACCACTACTGCGAAGGAAAACTTTAGCTCACGCGGCAGGTAAGAAAACGACGCCCTAGCCATACCTTCGTATACCATAAATACATTTTGAGTAATAGAAATAACAGCAGGTAAGTATGTATCATTAACGATGTTTATTCAATAACTTTGGGCTATATGCTGGATTTAAAATAGTTATATCGCCATTGAGATGAATATGGATCCACAATATTCACTGGATAGTTATTTCACGCTTTATAGCCTAAGAATTGTAATGATGCATCACAAAAGATCTCGCAAGTATTTTTCTCTCGTGTGTAAAGAAAGAAAACACAAGTCCTCAGCCCGACGACCTCGTAGGTTTCTTCCTCTCTTTCACTCCAAATGTTGCTACACTTATGTATTTAAGTGATATTATGTTACTTGTAAATATTTTATTTGCATACATTTAATTATTAACGAGGAAAAAACGATCGTCAAACGTACAGTTTTTTGACTTTCAACATAAACGGCCTTTAGATCACTCCCACTTATCTAACATGTTGACTGTCGACACGATGTGCCCACGTTGCAAAATCTCAAAACTTGTTTCGGTCGGTTATATCTACATTTAACTAGTTTTGCAAAGATAATAAGTAAGTAGGAAGCAGACAAGTTATTGATGCGAAAAAGCTGTAACACGTTTTCATAAAGTAAACAGGTGGGTCAGGTTATCAATATTGATACTGAAAATTGCTCGAACGATGTCTCCCACAGATAACAAATGTATAGGTACTGCAAAAGAGTGTCAGGAGACGACAGCGAGCGATCGATGTGGTACTTAACAGCAACCTTGTTTCATTTATTTAAAATGTAATGGAAAAGACGAACGCACGCCCAAAATCGCACCATATGTTAAACGACGGTGTGGCTGATGACGTTACGCACTTGTCTAGTAAATGCATATTCGCTTTAGCCTAGAATTAGCCATTATTTTGCTGTACGCAATAGGAAGGATGAAGCAAAGCGCTTCATGGCACAGGTTGGTAATCCATGACATCGCACACGAAACGAAATACTGTCGTAACGGAAAATTGTGGAATTGAGAAAACAGGATTTGAAAATAATAAAAACTGAATGAAACCAAATATATGAGTAGTAGATTCTCGTTAATTTTCTATTTATAAACTTTCAAATACTATATAATATTATATTAGAATATTAAAATTACGTATTTGTAGTTTATAAATGGATAATTTATATAGTATTATGATTATGAATTGAATAAGTAAAAATAATCACATTATTCCTAATAAGATCCATTCAATACTTTTTTAATTTTCAATTTGTGTTTTCTCAATACCATAAATTTGAGTTTTATTAACTCTATAATAATGCCAATAATAATACCATTTCCATACGATGTATAATAAATAGGGCAATGGTCCTTTAAGGTTAACACATTGTTTTCTTACAAATAAACAAATTACTTCTATATGCAAACAAAGCAGAGAAAACTTGCATATCAATATCAAAATAGAATCGCCAAGGGAACAAATGACGTGCGTTGGTGTCAAAAATGGATTCTTACGATAAAGCTAAAGTAAGACTTATAAATAGATACAAATTTGACCGACGACAAGACATAGATCAGAATAAAAAATATTTGGCACAGGTCACATACTAGAATTTACGCAAGTCTCTCCTCAAGATGCCCTGGAAAACAGATGTATTCATGCATATATATACGAAGAAACAAAACACTATTGTTGAAGCAACGCTACCGAATTTCACAGGCGTTATGCTAATTACCGACATATGCCAGACGAAGTCGTAGACCAGACATAATATTTTTCATTATCAAGGCTTTATTCATTTCTACAGATTAAAGTGTTTCGTATAAGAATATTCCGTTATGAAAATTATAAGAATATTACCATTGAACGAAACATTCTTAACATAGAGTTCCGAACACAGGGTTAAGGTTCAAGCGATAGTTACCTAATAATAACCAATTTTGCTAACAATTTATCATGCATGTTTGTTTTATTATTCATAGAACATAAAAAAATCTTGAAATCCATAACCAACCTAGTACAGGGCCAAAAGTCAGACAAAAAAAAATCAAGTTTGACATGCAGTATTTAAATCTAGTTATACGCCGCCGCGCCGCTAGCGATAGGCGATAAACTGCGACGACTTATAAAAACTAGACAAGAATCAACCGGTACAGCAGGCAGGGTTCGTGCGTCTACTACTACCATTGACCACATTCACATTCTGAAAATAATTCTTCTAGATAGATACAAAGAATACAATTTGCCACTATACTTATGCTTTATAGATGACAGCAAAGCCTTTGACACAATACCACACAACATCATTTGGGAAACAATATATCAATACAAGGCGTAAACAAAGTTTAAATCGATCTGCTAAAGTTAATCTATAAAAACAGCAGCTCTAGAATCATTTTTAAAAAATGGAGGCCATAAGCTTCAAAATTGAGAGAGGTGTAAAACAAGGAAACCCTCTCTCACCAAAGCTTTTTATTCCCGCACTCGAACAAATATTCAGAAAACTGGAATGGGAAACAATAATATACAAAATAAAAATTCAAGGCAGATATTTATCACACTAACAATTTGCGGACAACATAGTGTTGTTTTCAGAGGATCATGTGAAACTGCAAATCATGATAAATTAATTGTGCGAAAAAAGTAGAAAAGGAGGCCCAAAAGTTAACAATAATAAAACGAAGATAATAACCAGACAAATGATACCTCTGCCTCTTCTGTCTGTCAGTCTTGTATGTAGTCTGTGATCTTGAGTACGTGGAGAGCTGCATATACATAAGACATCTCATTTCCTTTAAAGCATGCACGGAATTAGAAATTGAAAGAAAAACGAAAAGCGCATGGAATAAGTATTAGACAATGAAATAAATTTTTAAAGGCAACCTACCTATCAAACTAACAACTCAAGCAACGGACACAGATCTGTCTACTCCCATGCCTAAGTTACGACAGGCAGACATGGCCTTTACCTAGGTAGAGCTTAAAAAGAATTAATAGAAAGAAGCTATTGCGGCCACACATTAAAAGATAAAATAAAAAAACAGCTTTATTAAGCATCTTTCTTCCTTATTAGAAGAAGGCTAAAGCTAAAGAAGCTGCAAAAAGGGTTCTTCAGTTAAAGTGGAAATGAGTCGGACACATCCAGAGAGCTACGGACGAGAAATGGTCCAAAACCGTTACGAATTGGTACCCAACACACGGAAATCTGGAAGACCACACAAAAGATGGAGTGATGACATAGTAGATGAAAAGTAGCAGGCAAAGTAGAGCCGCTAGAGACAGAGAAAAGTGGAAGGCGACTTTTACCGCTGTATAGAACAGTCGTAAAAGTAAATATCTACAAATAATATTTTAGCTATCTATCTACTTACTTATTTTAAACAAGAAAAATACTAATACATCGTTAAAATTAAAATACATAGAAAATAAATTATAGAATAAGGCTATCATTTAAGTTTTTTACTTATATGTATAAAACTTATGTTTATTTATTAATTGACCTCCTGGCATAATACTACCTGCCTACAATTAAATACGGCAAATTGGCTACTTAAATAAATATAGGAAAATAGTTACTTTTTTATCATTATTACTAGCGGTAGAGCTCCTTGTGTAAGAGTTCGTCCAGGGAAGTACTGCCAACTTACCTATTTCTGCCACCAAGCAGTAATGTGACCGTTACTACGTTTCGGTTTTGAAAGATAAGGGTGCTGGTCAAATTACACGCACATGGGACTTGTCAACTTATGTCTCAGGGTGACGGGCGCAGTGACCCTCAGATCTTTGCGATTTGAAACTCTGAGCGGCACTGCAACTGTTGGACAGCTATATCTCTTATCACCAGGAACACGCCTTGTTCGCCTCGCCACTTGGTATTATAAATAAAAGGCTTTATTCCCTACACGGCATGGAAAAAAGTTGTGATAACTATGTAAATTCATGTAATAGGATCAAGGTGTTGCTTGCTTCAGATACAAACACTCAAAACAGTTTCTCGATATAATAACGGTTTTAAATACAAACCTTACCGAGTTTTTGTGAATGCTACAAACTTATTACAATATTACAAACTATTTTTTAAGCTAATTCGCTGACTGAGTTAGCCATGTCCTTGAGACCTGTAATTGCCCGAAATGTAAGTTTGTTAGAAAAAATAAATAAACGCGATTTATATTAAAAAATATTTCATTTTCAAAGTTATCGCTTGCTAGTGTTATTTTGTAAAAATATCAGAGGCAGGGATTATTTGCATAGATTAAAAAAGGCAATGATTTTTTTAAATTAGGTATTATACAAAGGAATTGTAAAGAGCAGATCAAGCTTGACACTTAAGATTTGAATTCAACTCTATGTCGCTTCCGATAAGAATCATCCAAAGTCTAAAATATCAAGCTTGAAGCGTTCTTGACTAATATGTCGTCGGTATCAAAAGTTTATCAAAATGTTACATAGATTAGATGTACGGTGAATATTTGAAGTGACGTTTCATGGAATTATAGAATTTCACAATAATTTTACGTGTTTCCGTAAATCTCTGATGACTTTAATGTAGCTTGAAATTTACAAAATAGTACTGTAAGTTCTAATCTCACTGTCCATTAATTGAATATTTATTTTTACGCTAAGAAAAGATTCGGCAACGTTGTGAATGAAATGACTGATGAAAAATACACAAAAAGTAGCAATAATTTTAAATTTTACGAAGCTTGCCGTAACAATTTCCAACAAGCCTAATGTAATTTTATGATTTAGCATCAAAAATTATTAATAGAAGGAAACATTTTCGGAATAACTGGCATAGTGCCCAAGCGCACAAAAATTGAGGACAATAACCTAAATGAAAAAGACACGGAAAAAATTTACATTAAACTGCAACAAAAGTATAACAAAGAAAACGGTTTTTGACGCCTTCATACTGAAAAAGTTTTCCTCTTACAATAATTTTCTGCACTGTGTTATTCCGCTCAATCATTATGAGGATACTTCGAACGAACTTCTTAGAAGTACAGTGACGGTTTGATGAACTTGATCCAATTATTTTTAATTGTTTAGTCAACTGTATAATATATGCCCTCTATATGCTCATGATTGACAGTTTGTCGTAGATTAATAGTTTTATTTGCTCGAAACTCGCAAGAGTTTGGCGTTGTCTCCTTTTATTGAGCTACCTTAAATAGCTTTACATTGAACATCTTATTTAATGTTGTCGAATTACCTTCAAATTACTGTAAGCTTGCCAATTCAATCGTTGGTGAATAAATAAATATTATAGGTATATGTATCTGTACCTACTTAGCTACATTATTTTGCCTAGTCTTCCTATCTTTTTCATTTCTCTAGCTGCACTGCGTTTTTTGGTGCCGATTTTCGTGACTTAAAGAAAATGTCACGTCATTCATCATCATAAATCAAATCATCAAATCAAATCAGTAGAGCAATGTCGAGAAATATATGGCAATTGTCGATAGTCAACAATTTTTGGTACCCTAAAAATCGCCACATTTGCTTTAAGTGTCGGTAGCAATAGAAATAGAAAGCGAGAAGTCGCAGGTGAAGTCGCTTGAAAACTACATGTTTTGATACACGAACACGAACGAACCGTGATCTCGGGAAAAATTCAGGCGCATTGCTTTTACGTTAAATTTTTAGATCTTCAAATGTAAGTGACAATGACAATTTATTTTTTGTTCCAGGTCGCTCTTGATGGCGTTGCTCAGCCATATTCAGAGCGAATGGTACAAATTATATTTTTGGCTCATATACTGCAAAATATACTCGGCCGTCATATGGTTGGTCGGCAATCATTGCCGCGGAGCTGATAAGAACCGATCCGTGATAACTGCTGGAGTAAGCGGCCAGTCGCCTTCAGGCCTTCATAGAGTGCGTACGCGTCGTCGCAAGTCGCAACAGCACCACCGCTCAAAGCACATAGTTGCGTTAGCAAGAAGACCGTCTTTGAGAAGAATCGTGATGGCACCTGGAGCTAGCACTGCTCATGCTATGTTGGAGGACAAGGAGAAGGCACTGCAAGGATCCTTGGCTTCAGGTGTGTCACAATTCTTTTTCTTTGCTTTTTTGCATTTGAAAGTTGACATTGTGTTCGTTCTTCATTATTGACTGAATTTTAAAAACGTTGATTTAGAATTTTAGAATAAATTGTTCTTTGTACGCTAGTACATAGATGTCGTTGTTTGTACAAATAAACTTGGCATAAACCCAGAACTTGGCCTAATAAGGTGCAGTAAGGATTGTCAAGTACTATAGGTATACATATTTCGATATTTGGGGAGATGGATTATTTGAAATTTTTTTAATTAGGTGAATCCATTTTCAGTGAAGATTCCTTAGAATATGGGGTTCGAACCTCGGTTGTGTAATTCACCCAGGGTTCATATTTTCTCAAAACATCCAATAAAACGTTTCTTAAATCGAATGCATCAATGATTTATGCGATGATAATTATTAAGTTTTAATAATAAAGAATAACTACTTATTTTCCGGGTCAGCTGCAAGACTTATTGATCGTTTTTATGTCTTTCACTTATAATAAAAATAACAGCAATAAATTTAATAAGATAGATAAGTGTGTTTATGTATTGGCATAGGGATATTAAAAATTTACGATTACTTAAACAAGATTTAGAAGAATTTAATCGGTTAGCAAGCATTCGCTTCCGTGATAAAATTTCCGGCTATTTTTTTCTCTTAAGGTCATTGCAGGTGTGAGGTTCAACAAAAATAGATTGTATGGCGTCGACAAATCGCCGATCGTGAATTGAACAGAATACTTTAGATCCATGATTAGCAGTTTTCGAAGGACCACTGATCAGACGATCCATGAATCTTTGAAAATAAATAGAGAGTCTTTTGTGTAAATATTTGCTTGGAATTGCTAAAAGAGATATTTCTACTCAGTCCAAAGTTCTTGACAAAATAGAAGGTGCAAATTACAAAACTTGGCACCCAACCAACTCATGGATTTCCCATATGGAACGTTGATGACGATAGTTGATTACGTTTTTCTAGGAAAAGAATTGCTTTTTTAGAATTCGAAGTATAGACATTTTCTTTTCAGTCCTACGAAACAATTTTTATCTAGAAAAATATTTAATGGCAATCAAGATAAAATTTTAATTTCAAATCCGCGAACATACAGGTGACAACTAAAGCTAATTAAATGATCGTTGCCTTGGTGATTAAATTGTAGTGATGTAGTTTTCGGTAAGCAGAACTCGCCTGGGTACCTATATACTAACGCCGTACCTAACTACACTCGTGTATCGGAGTGAAAGGTAGGAAGAGGCGCAGGAGGCTTAACAATCGAGTTCCACTGAAAGGCTGAGCGGCGGTTATTACTTAACTCTAAATCAAGTAGACCATCTGTTTGCCGGTTTGTACGCCATAAGACGAAATACAAAAATATATTGGGGGTATATTTTGATATGCTTTTATTTTGGCAATTGAACTGTATTTCAACTTTCTTGACGCCTGTTGTGAGTAAAAAACTATGCTGTTCCAATATCCGATTTAAAACTGTTTTGCCGGGAAACATGCGATTTCAACTTTAAATTAAAATATGTTTACGTAAATTAACAACAATGTGTAACTAATTTAAATAGAAATATAGGTAATACTATAGGTGATGGTTGGTATGGCAAAGCATTTATGTAAGTGGAATTCTTTTTATGGTTTGACCAAATCGATATTTCTTATACAATCTCTATTTAATTGGCGGCAATGCATCGCAAATGGTCTTTAGCCAACGTCAACATTTTTGAGTACACAAGAAACTCGCTCTCATAATAACCAAATGAGTCGGGAACCGAAAATTCAAGCCAATTTTCACACAAATGCCAGAGTTTATTTATTTATTATTTGGGAAACAAACAGTTTACATTTTGTGTAGAAGATAGTATAGTACAAAAAAATTATACTTAAACAAGCAAAGTTTGCACTAATAGACATAACTTAAAAAAGAACGAAAAACTACTTGGTATATTTTTAAACACAAAGAAAATATAAAAAAAAACATAAAAATAAATAAACTAAAAAGAAATGCCATAAATTAATTGTTTATAAATGGACTTTCCAAATTTTGGAAAGTTTGGAACAAGTGCACTTAAAAACCAAATATCGTGATCTTATACTTGAGTACAGTCCTCGAGTCAAATTGAACAGTAATAAACTAAAGGAGACAATAACACGCTCTTAAATTATTTAATAAAAGTCCAATAGTACAGAAGTAAGTCAGGTGACAGTGCTGATTGTGACCGATCTGGTCAATTGCCTTAACTTCTCAACGTTACCCCACTGGAATTAATGAACGCACTTTGTACCTCCACTTCTGAAAATAACCGTTGGACTAGCGTCACACTTTAATTAAAAACGTTGTTGCTATTATTAATACTAATAAACGTATTAATCTGCAAGACAATTACAATTAATTACATCCTTATGTACACGACTCGTCGAAAATAGTGATTCTACCACAAAGTAGAAATTGTGATATTCACGATAGAAAAGCCAAAGATCAATTCCTATCTTTGTTGATTAAAGCGTGACGAAATGTAAGAACATTGTTACGTACTTACAAATGACCTCAGAATAAATGGTGGTCTCTCATGATTAAGATAAAACATTATATACATGTAATAGGTACAGTCTTCAACTACTTGAGAATGTCAAATATAAATAGGATAATATTAAAAGACTACGTAGCCGAAAACATCTCGAGAGATGTCTCCAGTTCATTAACATCGAAATTAAATAATAAAATCCGAATCGCGCCATACGATGACGTTGACGACCACGCCTCCAAACCACAAGTTGGGAGGCCTCTCGCTACTAACGAATATTGTCTAATATTAACAATATTCATAATACATAAAACGAGTTACAAACACGCAATAATGATAAGTAATATGTATAATTATAAAAATTGCAACGACAACGTATGATTAAAATCTTTTTTTTCTAAGTATCAGTTTGTTTATCTTTATCGTTCTTGCTCTTGCCTCCTGCGGATTTATCACAACTGTCTATTAGCAACATTGCTATCAGAATAAATAACATAATTGTTTACAGAGTTGGAGGTTAAAGAAGTACTAACTCTGAGCGCAACCCCGATAAAATTTGTTTGCCTTGATTACAATTTTACGAATTCATGGAGCAACAAACTCTACGTATACCTACACCCTACACTTAAGAACTATCATGACAAAACGCATTATCTCTGTCACAATTCATTAGGTAATTACTTAATAATTGTCAATGACACTGGTTGGAAACGCATATTGAATTTGAGCTTGAGATAATTTTGTTTTGAGGGCGTATCAATCGACGACAGCATGCCATTCGAACAATGTGGGCGTTGATTGACACTCAACTAGTAACTCCAGATTATTATAGACACCACTTACAAGTCATTGATTAGATTACTATTACTATGTTTTAATTCAATAAACATCTAATTATATATGTAGGTAGAGGTGTAGTAACTGCTTAAACAAACCTCGATTTTACAGCAGGTACTGTTTTATATACTTTATGTAATAGAAACAAAACATATGAAAGTCAATCGAGCTGACGTATACTTTTTCTTATAATTAACATGATAATTAATAATATGTTATGAAATATTTAAATAATAAGATAATATAATACGTAACCGCATTAACAATTATAAACGAGTTAGTAGTAATAGTGTAGATTGTAAACAAACAACATACATGGGCAAGAGGAATGTATTTACAACTAGGTACCATGTAGTCAATGTTACCACAGTTGATTGCAACGTCACAATAGTGTCACATTGTTAAAAAAAAAAAATAAGTTAATGACTATTAAGGAAAACTACGAAGACCTTAGTAATGTATATGATTGTTACTACGACTAATGAAAGATCATTATTGCGGTATAGTTTGCGTAATTAAATGACGTCTCTGGTCTCAATATTATTGAAGGACCGTCATTTTTGCAACTACAAACGAAATCATATTTTCGGAATGCTACATAACAACCTTATTAACTAGTCAACTAACTATTCATTCGATCCAAATTATAATCACACGTCGCTTAACGTGACCGATGAATAATAAATTATGGGCACGAATTTAATGTAAACGATATCGAATTATTTAGATTTTTTTACGTAAACTTAGCATAATTTACCTTAAAAATTTGTTACAAAATGCATATTAAACAAAAAATATATGTAGAAATTGAAACTATTTTTCGGACTTAAATCGCGTATATTAGTTTTTTCAAACAAACCAACGTTTCGGGCCCTTTACAGGTTCCATGGTCACGGTTGACTCAGTCTGTCAACCATTTGTGTGAAAAAACAAATATACGCGATTTAAATCCGAAAAAATAGTTTCAATTCCTATGTGTAACAATCGAGAAAACCTAAGAACTCGATACAAAAAATAAATATATAAAAACTTTGAAAAGTAACCGTTTGTGGACGATAGCAGTGTCTCGCCTGTGAGATCATTAACTAAAAATATACACAATCACGCCTCAGCGTTCCAATTATATCTTTAAACAACCAACTCCCTGTCATAATATTCAATCATTACTAAGAAAATTATAAGTTAATTATTCACCTCGTCGATAAAAATACTATATGTATATGTATAGTAAAATTCGATATATGTACTTAACTATATAAATTTTAATTGTCGGTTCGTTACTGGATACGATCAGTCTCGAAATATTTTAGGAAGCACAAGAGTAAAACCAACGACAGGAACTTTAAGTTTATTCGCATTTGTAAGTGATCATTGGATTATTGTTAACAAAATACATAGTATGTTGACCTTCCACTAGTCATACCATCCTTACAGTATCCTGCAGATACATAGCAGAATATAAATATCAAATAAAACTTAAGCATGAAATTGAATTCGAGCTCCAAGCCGGTCGAGAGCATGTGCGGTTTCCTTGAGCTTGTTGATCGGGTACAAAGTCCACTCGGCGACCAAGACGTTTATACGTACAGTCACACGGTTACACGAGTAATACGCCATAGATATTCTTGTAAAAAAGTACACTTCACGTCATCGCAGTTGTTTATTTGTAGTTTACGAATTTTACGTTGTATATATGAATATTAAACACATCCACAACAACAAGTTAGGTTAAGTAAGATGAATTACTTAATGATACATTAAGGTTGAATAACTTGACGGATGTTCTATAAGCTTGAAAGGTTAGTCAAGTTAAGTCGCATGACGCACAAAACAAACGAAGGCTTGGCCGTGTGTACAGCATTTTCATTGGTTGATTTTTTGCTTCTTTTGTTTGTTGTTTTCATTGTGTACCTACTCTGTGCTCCAGGCAACTTTACTATTCAATAAATAACCTTTTTCGAATTAAAACTTCTATAAACAAACTGTTCGTGTAAATTCAATTTTAGTCAGTCAACCAAGAACAGAGTAACAAAAACTGAAGATCTGAAACTCATTCCAATATTGTTTTCTAATTTGTACCGTTAAATGGAAATACTACGAGTGAGAAATGCCTTATCGAAACAGGAAAAATATTACAAACCACATGAAGTATGGTCACTCTACAGATATACGAGTTCGCTATCACTATGACCCGGACTAGCTGGAAGTTAAGGTTAAATATTTTTGATAAAATAATATCATAGCTAACATTGATGTTTGACGTTAATTGGTACACATTAGCTTTCGCAGTTAAAGTTATAACGAAATAAGTGCCTAAGTGCAAAACTGATAACACCCTATTTTCCGCGATAATATTTTCACAAATAACCTACTTAAAGTATTTCAAAACGACTATTTTAAATAGATAATCTTGTAATGTTATTGTATTCTTTACTAGTTCTATGTTTGTAAAATTATGCGCAACGAACTCTACGTCACTACTACCTACTACGTCATAGAGTTTACTTGCAACATACTCGAAGAGTTTTACAATATTTTCCTGCTCTATATAAAAATATAGTTACTTATCTAGCGGCTCGTGCCACAGATAATGTTCTCTCTGTTATCTTATTTACTGAACTAATGAAAAATGAACTTTAGTCGGTAGCAAAGCGTGTTAATATTTTAATATTTTAGGTCAACGAGCTGTCGCTTGTACCTAACTAGGACAGGAATGTTTTACAGCTTTATTATTTTTCATTATTTGATAATTTCAAGAATTTCTCTAAAAATTTGCCGTCAAAATTTTACTATTTCGTTTACCTATAGTCTGATTTCATTCTTATGATTATAAAACTAACACACACATGTAAAAATATATACCTAAAACAAAATCTCAATTTTTCAAATTTAATACTTATTTTCAGAAACTTTTATGTTTATTTCCCGAGAATTTACTCTTTCGTTTAATGACGACATTGTTTTCAAGGTGCGATATTATATACATACATATAACAATAAATTATAATTTAACACTTCAAAACACTACGCAAATACTTCAAGCAATAGGTTCACATCTCTACATACATATATTCGTTCAAATAATAATTTCGTCCTGTATCTGAAACTTTCTCTAAGTATCCTTTGGTGTCTTCATAAGAACCATCGATCACTGACTTCCTTGGGATGGGGGTTTTACCCATATGGTTCACTTGTACGTAAAATACAAAGGTACATTCAATCTAACTTATTAATTTTGTTTTGTTGTAGTGTCGCTGCGCACGCGCCGCATCAGCCAATTTGCACCGCTGCTCATAGCCTTGGTGGGGCTGCCCGCTCGCGGCAAGAGCCAGCTTGCTCATCGCCTGTCCAGGCATCTCAACTGGAATGGAGAGAGCACTAAAGGTACAAATTCGTCATCATATTCTCTTTACGTTCTTTGTCCAACTGGGAATTACGAGATTATGATGATTGGCATTTGTATTTATGGGTTAGGTCTATATTATTTCGAAATGAAGGTATAAAATTTATTACCTATTTTAGACTCCCGCCTCTCCCTAAGCCTAAAAGATTAATTTTGAATTTTTAAGTGAGAGAGGCGGTATTTCCCGGCAATTATTACTATTATATCATATTTAGTTCTTTTGATTGAGTTTATGAAGTATCAAATCCTGGGCCCAAGTCAGCTGTAAAGAGAGGGTTAAGGCCATCTTTTGCGGATCTAAAAGACAAATAGTTTCTTTTGTCAGTTACATGCGTTGTAATACCGATAACGCCAGGTACTAAAATATCAACCGTATAAATCGTAGGTACTCAATTTAAAATGCAATGCAGAAAATAGCTTTTCTCTCTGTTTTCTTTACGTAGCATGCGTGTATATCTTGATTATAAGAAATTGTTGTATTTCATGCCTACAATCCTACTTTAATGTTTTCTTACAGCCAGAACCTCTATAATAAAATTAATAAACATAGGATTCCGTAATTGTTATAGCGGAAACTAACTTTAAAGTACGTAGTCTTATAACCGAGCGAATATTATAATTATGTGATATTAAATTATAACTAACTTGGTATTGTTTATTTAGGTATTGTTTTGTAATATACAATTTGGCAATGTGACACTTATAACATCAATATTTTACGATTTAGGTTATAATAATGATTGCGGTTTGCGGTTATTTTATCTTCAAAAACAATGGCGCATCATTTTATAAACATTAGTATTCTCAAACATAAGCTAAGTTATAAAAACTAACAGTTTTGAAATAGCAAATTAGAACGCTATGTAAATAACGCAAGGTACAATTTTCAACAAAGCATTTTGAGACATTTATTACATATTTATGTTACTGCTAGGTGTGACTTACCGTAAATACTTACACTACTGCTTATAAATTCTCACCTTGCTGTTGTTTACTTTGAACATCTATAACATTGAATTCCTCGACCTAGATCTTATGATCTTGAATGGCCTAGTAACCAGATACTCAGGACATCTTATATCTACGCTCGATGCTATTAAATGGATTCGGCTTCGGATTCTAGAACATGAGAAATTGTATTATACTTATTTTTTTTACCGACTAGGCAAGACGCTCAAGTTCCCATTGGGATAGTCAATGCTATGATCTTATTCGAAGTCTGCGATTTTTTATTTAATATCTACAATCAGTCGTCAGACTTTATGTAATTTTTTTGAGTAATTTTTGGCGTTTGAGAGCGAGGAAGCCACCGCTGCAGTCATCGAACTCTGCGATTAACTCATAGAGATTACTTGTTTTCTACAACTCCACAAATCAAAGATTTTAGGGACTGTTGAATACACTTATGAACTATCATTCGTCTTTTGCAGTGTTCGACTGCAGCGAGTATAGACGCCGCCACATGGCCCTGTATGCGACTCATGACATATTCCGTGCTGATAATCAGCAGGGCTCGGCTATTCGCCGCCAAAGCGCTCGCGAAGCTGTACAGGACGCCATATTATGGCTGAAAGAAGGAAACTGCGTTGCTGTAAGTTTGCTTCTTTTATTATCTAGATAGGTACTTCAATACGCTAACAGAAGCTATAAAACTCATTGACGAACTCAGGAGCCCAGCAGTTAACACTATGAGCGCTAGATGACGAGATCCCGGGTTAGTTTCCCGGTAGGGTAAGTAGCAGGGTTTTTTTTCTAAATTGGTTCTGGTCTGGATATTTTGGATAGTGCCTGCTGCGTTAATTTCGTTGGTCTGGTATTCACAGTACTGAGAGGTCCTCAGAGTGTGACCAGGGAATTGATGTGGTTGTCTGGCGCATTATACTTATTATTATAGTAAAATGTCGTTGTTATTCAATTACTCGACCTCTGGTATTGTGTGGGGTTAGGTAGAATAAGTACCTGTATTTTCGTAATCTACTTACTTTGGATTAGATTAGTAGGTATGCAATCATCGTGTTGATTTTTACAGAATCTATTATTGTTATTCTTTAAATTGATAGACGTGGCTAATAACTCACGAATGAGTCTGACCCTTGCGGAGTAAGCAAGATCTTCATAATGATTTACCTATAAACAGTGTGTTTCTGAATTACATGCCGTATAGCTCAACAATTTACAAATTAACTTGTCTCTAATTGTCTCTATACGTTAAAGCACTTCAAGAAAGGCATAACATGTTTTTTTAATAATGGAAAACAGGTTCGAGCATCTAAAAATTCAAATATAATGAAATATCCTTGTTTTTTCCGGCAAAAGCCACTGATGTCATTGACGTAATTAATTTTTGCTCAGAATATGTTATATAATACAAATCCTGTATATGATGTTTACGCATATGAAAAATTACAAATGCTGTGCAATTATCGTGCCCAGACGTAACCTTTCGCAACCTTGTCAACACGACGCCTGTCGCTTGCTATAACAACGGGGACACACTCAAGTTTGTTTTGAAATATAGTTGCTTTGTTGCAGATCTTCGACGGAACGAACATCACCCGTGAGCAACGCCGGGAGCTCGACGACTACATTACTGAAATGGGTTTCAGGATTCTATTCATTGAATGCGTCTGCGAAGACCAAGTTTTACTTGAAAGAAACATCATTGAAATTCTACATTATTCTGCTGATTACAAGAACATGAGCGCGGGAGAGGCAGTTGATGACTTGAGGAAGAAGCTCGAGCATTACATGAGGCAGTATGAGCCGATTGACGCCAGCGTTGAGAGTATCAGTTTCGTTCGCGTTGAGGACATGGGAGAAACCGTCACCGCTCATAAAGTCGCCGGCCAAAAGGAATCCGGAATTCTGGGATACCTGTCCGGCATGAGGGGACAGCCTCAAACGTTATATTTCACACGTGTAAGTGAAAATGTATTTATCACTTTATGTGCTTAGTAGCAAGCCAAAGTCACAAACTTTTCTAATTGGAAATCAATTAATTAATATGCACTGATAAAGTTGTTTTTCACAAAGTTCGATATCTACGGCATAGAAATCTGTAAACAATCACTATTCAGAAAAACAAGAGCTGAGAAACAACTCTGATAAGGCGTCGAAAATATTACAGTTGAATAAATATGCAAGTCACGGCTATTATATTTGTAAATCCAGACAAAATCTCGACTGGTGAAGTAAAATAAATAATATATGGTTTGATTAGATATGCGAAGCGTCATCAAGCTTTTAGCAAATAATACAATTTATTTTAATGTGTTATGTAGATATGCATATTTATTAGACATCTACATAAACGAGAATTATTTATTGTTTAGATTGCGGCATGTCTGAAATATTATAAAGAAAATATACCCTCATCCATAACATACGAAATTTTAACGTGCTTCACATCATAACAAGCTAATATAGCGTATTATGCATAATATGATAAAGCTTAATACGATGTTACGTTTTCAACAGCACGGCGAGAGCGAATACAACGTACTTGGTCGCATCGGTGGTGACGCCAACCTGTCTGCGCGAGGCCAGCAGTATGCGCGTGCACTGGCCGAATACATAAATGCGATCGCCAGTCGAGAACCTCTCAGCGTGTGGACTTCCGAACTTCGGCGCACCAAACAAACGGCTGCTGAAATCCGAGCGCCTAAACGAGCTGTTAGGGCTCTTAATGAATTGGACGCTGTAAGTATTTCATCAACACTTCTCATTTAGAATATAGGAAGTTGCTAGAGTCTGTCTTTTTTGAAGACGAAGTAAAATGACAGTACATTGTACAAAAGTGTTGCCTGCTTGCGAGCAGCTAGTGATTGCAGTCGATAAATATTCTATCGACTATCGACTGAATATTGGCCACGCTTATGGAATAACAGCCGAACTTGTTTCATTTGAATCATCCTCGACCCATTATTCATTCAATTATTGAACATAAGTTTATTTGAAATGTCAATTTTTCATACATCTGTAAACTGTATTTAGAGCTACGTGTATGAAAAATACAAAAAAGAGACATATTTTAAAGTGTTTCATTTTAATTCAATATACATAGATAATCAAATCCGGCTATTCTTGTTAAAATGTATATGAATAAAAATTGATCTCGATACTAGTAGGCCAACTGTCAAAATAAGAAAAAGAAGGTAATAAAGCAATTAATAATCATTAGAACATAGTAACATTCACAATTCAGTCATTTTTGGCAAAATTTTATCTTCAATCACAATCTATCGGTAAAACTATCGACAACAACACATGACTATTTAAAATTTTATGAAAACTGGCAATCATACAAGTGTCATAATACTCCGTCTTCAAAAAGACAAACTCTAGTAAGGCATTATGTCGATCTTTCCATTTATATATGCAGATCGCGTAGTAAAATTCCATGCCCATAACAAGAATTTGCGAAACAATGAGACATTGATCGAAAACAATGTGTAACATCGTCATGTTTTTAAACTAAAATGGAAAGAAAGGGAACGAGTGACAAAACTTATAACATGTATCTTAAAACAGGATGTGCAATTTTGTCTTTTTAAACTAAACAAGGCTTGTGATTTGATCCTTCGAGGCGTAAACATTTGACTAGTTACGAAAACAATAAATTATGGATTTAAGTACCTAGTCCAGAAAGTACTTTACTTAGAAACCAGGATTTTTGACTAGAGAAAGGTACAAAATTCTGAGGATAGCATTAAACTGCTAAATTTAGACTGTTTTGAAATCACGAGATTATTTAGGTCAAAGTGACCATTAAACATCACTGAATTACATAATTTAAATACTTTTTGTTGTCGAATTTTTAATTAGATTGTTTTTTTGCAAATTACAAATTAACAGCTACTAATGTCATTTCAAAAATAATATTTATTGATGATGATGATGATTGATGATGTATTTGGTTCAGCTAACGGAAACAGAATCAACAAAAAAGAAACATTAAGGTTTCGACTGTTAAACTTCTGAACAATATTTAATTTAGGTATATTTAGTTGTCACGTAAATATGTTGGAAATTTTTCTATTATATTACAAATTCCTTAAAATACCTATAAATTTATATATACGAGTATTAACACATATCAAGGTAAATTACCTTGACTTCCTGCTGAGAAAGTCAGTGGAGTCGAGTTTTTAAGATAATACTATTTTTATTATATTAAGAACTAGCAACCTAGAGAACGTCAATTTATTGTTTAATTAAAAATTCAACTATTGTCTTTTTCAATTATTCATACTGAAAAAAATAAGGACAAGAGTTAAATAAATACATAAGATTATATATTGTATGATGTAATTCCATTGCGTATTATTATGAATACAAAAAACAACGTTATTATTGTAGAGTACTTTGAAACAAAATTAGACGCACAATATTATCACATAATTCATAAGTAATATGTTAGTCTTATCATTATCAAACTGTTCAACTAGCATACAAAAACAATGCCTTCGTAAGTATTAACGATGAAAGGCTTTTAATGCTTATCAAATGTTTAAAAGGATGGATAATAACATATTCCCAATCATAAACAGATTATAAAAACGTGAATACCTATTAAATGTAGAATGATGAAATAGTACGGAAATGTAGACGACCCAAGACGACGCGATTTTACATCGTGAATTGTAGCTTGATAGGTGATCGTCACAGACCAGGCGTTTTTCGTAATATTATCGATTTCAGTTTTGCCAAACGCTGGCACCCCAATTAGTTAATAACGCTCATTCACAAGGTATGTGATCGTGATAGTGTAATACTGATTCAAATATATATAGACATATATATATATATAGATATAGTATAGATATATATATAGATAACACTCTTCTTTAGTATAGGTCGCCAATGGCAACAATGACGATAATTATTACAACGATAAATATTTTATAAAAGGAATCAGAAAATATACGTCATAATCTTGTTTACCGAAAAAAATACAAATAATACTTTAGATATTGATGTTATCGTCTAAAATATAGCATATTATATATGCACTTTAATGGAAAACACGTACAGCCGTGACGTGTCGACTATTATTAGTACTCCACTAGTGAGCAATCAACAACACCTGGTTCTTTTGGACCTCATTTGTTTGTACTTTACCTCATTTGTTTGTAATGTATCACCCGACTATGTCTCTATTGTGGTCTTGCTGCTTTATTTCTTTATATTTACGAGAGAAACGCACACGTTTAAATCTAATTCAGTTTTGGACAAATGGACCAAAGAGGATCTAGAAATGGACCATAAACTAAAGCAAGTGTATGGGCGAAGCGTTGCCAGTTTAATTTGGTCCGTCTGTGACATGAATATTTTTGTTATATTTAAAGACTCCAATTTTAGAATTCGTTCATTAATACCTGCTTATAAATATTAGTGGTTTAAAATAGGTTTCGGTAAGGCAATTGGTGTTTTTCATAATTTTTTCGATTTCACAGTTATGCCAGTCGGTGGTTTCCCATTAAGTAGTTAATAACGCTCATTGCAAATCATACGCGACAGATTTTTCTAATAAAAAGATAAGGTCGTGTAACAGTTGTAATATAGACATATCCTTGCGTCCGTTGGGTGGACAGTTACTGCGGCTGACTCAGCGAAAATTTACAAATAAAATTGAGCCATTGCGAGGTGTACGTACAGAACGTCATCATTTTAAAAAGTAATTTAATTTTCCATTACTCTAAACTTTATTCACGAGATTTCCACACTTTTACGAGCTATAAAACTAAGAAGTTATTTCCGGAAATGTGTAATAACTTAAGTTTATCGAGAATAATTACGTAGGTATTCTATTAGTTACTTTATTTCATATTTAAACAGAACATAAAAATTAGTTGCATTTTAATTACGTACTAACACAGCATAGATGTAAATTTTATTTAAATTAAAACATTTCTGTGCGAACTAAGCCTGAGTTAAATATTTTTGCGACTACAAAGAACAAAATGTTATATAAATAACGTACGAAACTCGCTTTGGACCGCAAAACAACGTTTTGCTCTAGCTTCCGTGCCAAAACATAATTAGGTATGTAGGCATGTACTCATGGCCCATTTACAATGGTCTAAATATTTTATTTAGACAGAGCCATTAAAAATATGCATTAGTTTCACGAAAGATAATGATTTATAAAAGTAAAAGTTAATTTAACGGTACTTTCTCTCCTCACCAGGGCATCTGTGAGGGTTTAACCTACGAGGAGATGCAGGAGCGTTTCCCACAAGAGTTTGCATGGAGAGACCAAGACAAGTTGCGCTACCGCTACCCTTGGGGAGAATCCTACATCGACATCATGACCCGTCTTCGTCCAGTTCTCTCAGCCCTTGAAGATGAGCATAACGTGCTTGTGGTTGGCCATCAAGCTGTTCTACGCTGCATGCTTGGATACTTCCTAGATGCTAAACTTGGTACGTTTGATTTTTATTTTACTGTCACTAAGTTGAAGTCGACTAGTGCCACATTATCTTATGCATATAAACTACCTAAAATATGTTTTAAACATGTACACGCACTTACCCAGAATAACTTATCATTATCACTGAAAGAGTTTACGTGTCACGGTCTTGGTGTACATTTTTCATGCTTCTGTACTACTTCTGTACTTCTGTACTAGGGCATTAACGCTTCGTTGCTTTTAGGAATGTAAATATTTAGGTTAGATAAAATTAATAGTTTCATAAAATTTTACAGATGAACTTCCGTACATGAACGTGCCCTTGCACACTATAGTGAAGCTCACATCCTACGGTTACAAATACAAAGTGGAGATGATCCAACTTCCCATTGATTGTGTGGACACGCACCGCAAACAACCAAAGGTTAGCTAACGTTATATATTTTGATATTTTGCACACTTATATTAAAAAAATATGATTCAATATTGTATGTTCTAGATGTTTTGTAGCGTGCAAGATGTTAGTCAGTATACTTTGTTGTCGATTTCATTAATTATTGATAAGCATAAGAAAAGTCTTAAAAGAATTTCTCAAAGATGAGTAGTAGGTACTATTGTCCTTTTGTCACTTTTAATAGTGTCGTTGTTCCGAAACAAAGCGTTGACAGTTTGTGATCAAATGTTTAAGTTTGAACTACGCGTTCCATTTGGCCCATAAGGACTGGCAAAAGACCAGGTACAAGGCCCACTTAAATACAAGTACGTACCTAACAACGATATTTTTAAACGTTTGACTAACTAATTGTCTTTGTTACAGAACTGCTCAATCAGCAGGAGCACAGCTGACGCTCTAGTGACTGTTCCGTCTCACTACGACACGCTTCCATCCAACATCTGGCAGAACTCAAACGAAGCACAAATTTAGGCTTCAGAGTCGGGACCCAAGAGGTCTACGGCACCGTAACAAACCATACCAGCATTACTAGGGTAGTAAACCCTCGGATTTCCAGTATGGGTTACGTCCACGGTTGTGAAAAACCATGGATCGAAATTACGCCACACCAAGGCGTCGAGAGTTGATATAGATCTCTGTTTAGACGGAATTTGGTGTGAGTAAACTTCACACTGCAATTGTGTGCAGCGTATGAATTATTCATTTAATTTTCTTGTAAGACTAATTGTACAATTTGAAATTATAATTGTTTAAGGTGAACACATACTGCGACAACATTTGATGAAAAATATGTAAATGTTTTGTCGCTGTTGTTGCCCATCACGTGTGTCAATTGAAATTTCAATAGAACGTGATCTCTAATCTGCACTGCTACGGCTCAATTGAATTCGTACAAAATAACGAAATTAAATTTGTAATGAACTATGAATGAAATCTCCCTACAATATACACAAATAAGACTGAAAGGGTTTCTTTTTTCAATAATTTCTGTTCATTTTTGGATCGCAATCAAAATGTTTTGTGTTCTTATTTTTAAAAAGGTAATTAGATAGATTTATTTAGATTTACTTACATGTTTTTTTCAATATTGTTTTAAAGAATAATAATATTAAGCTTATTTTGTAGGTTGTATTATTAAGTTTTGAGTCGATTTAATTGCCTTTTACGCATAAAAAGTGATGTCTCTATAAAAGTTTATGTAATCAGCGTCTAATCATGTCTATCGCGAATTTTAAGGCTATACGGAAAAATCTATCTAATTCCAGTTAGTTAGCTTTACTGCCTTTATTTTGCATGTAATCTCTATGATAAGATAGTCTCAATTTAAGTAGCTTTAGAATATACTATGCCCTTATCGTCTTGTCTACGTGTTTACTTAAATCTACACGATACTATAATAGATTATTTTTAGAGCGCCCGTAGTAGTATGCATAGGCATTTCAATTTTAAAGACGAGCTCATGAATGTATTGAGATACTTCATTTTATACTTAGTTCAACTGTTTTGATGTTGAGTATAAAACGTACTGACAAGTTTTTTAAATGTAATGCTTAAATAATACTAAGCAAAAGGTAGAATCCTTGAAACGGACTAGTTCTAAGATGTTATAAGCTGTATGGAAATTGAACTCTATAATCGTATGAAAAATCTTATAAGAGATTGTTGGAAAGACTAGAACGAATGTCAAATGGAATTGTCTAAAAAATCTTAATCACCTTATGTACTTTTATAATAAATGCTGCATTCTAGTTATGAACAGTTATTTCATTTTAAGCCTTACACCTTAGTGAAATGGTTAACATACTACGTAGTCACCAGCCACAAGAGTTAATTAAGGGAGAATTGTGTCACCTAATATTTATGATCGAAGATTACCTATGAATAAATTCATACTGCTGTACTCAACTGTACAGTTTAATGTAATGTATTTATTTATATCAAATTCTACTATATAACTTAGTTGCAGTTTTTTTGCTACTCGTTAATGTACTTATATCCTAATAAAGAGTAAAAAAGGCTAGATATCGGTATGCGGTCATATCATTACGGTCGCTTTTTGTATATCAGCTTATTTTTTGTTATACTTATTGATCGGTGTTGTCAACGTAATTTTTAATGTGCAATAAAGATTACGGCTACAGTTAATGCGTGCAGTCGTGATCAACTGCATACAGTCAAGACGTCGATTGCATGCAATTGCGGTTACTCCGTGCGATCGAGAAGTCGTCGATTGCATGCAGTCGAGAGTTCAGCATCGACTGCAGCTGATGAGAACAATAGTCCGAGAATCACAAGTAGCAGTTGTTATTCTTATGAGACATTATGATTTTTGTATCAGAAACAACTTGATCTTTAGAAGTAACGGCAAAAGGTAAAAATTACCTATTTGAGGGCTTATTCAATAAATGGTAAAACAAAAACACGATTGGTGAAACCTTTCCCGACGGATTTATATAATTTGCTCAATTCTTTAAATATTTTGTTTTGTAATGGCACTTTTGTTTACATTTTTTTGTAACGCAAATTCTACCGACCGTAGAGTGTAGTCGGGGATTACGGATGTGAATTTGTTGACAAATTAAAATGGCATTCAGGGATTGAGAATAAGTATTGTTTTTGATTCAAACTCACGTACCTATGCAAAAATTATGTAAGTCAATGTTAGTAGTGGAGAAATAGCTAATGTTCCCAATTTCAAGATTTATCCTAAACCATAAAGAAAAAAAAAAGAAATCTGGCTATAATAATTATAAAAATATGCCACACGTTGCACTAATTAATTAGTGTCAAACTAGGGAACGATCTGTACTAAGAGTTATAGAGTAGATACGAAATCCATTAGGTGGTCCGTCTTTCTGTTTAACAGTTCAGATACCTACCATAAAATTACTTGAGGACGTTACCCAAAAGTGCTTGAAAACAATGCAGAAAAGCTGTTAATACTACTATATAAAATTGAATCTGGGACACACTCTTCTACTACCCAAAATGCTAATCACTCACACTGTGCCATCGAGGTCGTCATAGTCGTCAACAACTAGAGCAAGTAAGTATATACTTCGACGCCTCAGTTCTGTGTACGTACCCTGTATTTAAGCCACGACTCCTAACAACAGCAACAGAGTTCTCGATGTAAAACAATAAGAACCAGTCTAGTGTCATTACCGATTGACAGACAGGCCATCGATCAGGCGAAGGCTGCGGCGTGATCGCGTCCAGATTAACATCTGTGCATGCGCCGATATAGTCGCGAATGAAGGTGACTGATGACTGAGATTGTTTCCTTGATAAATATATCGATAATTATTATTTTTATTATTGTAGTGCATTTAATACAGCTGGAGACGGATACGCAAATGGATATTGGAAGCTAAATATTAAATTAATTCAAAAACTGTTTATTTTTACTGAAAATATATACAAGTTATGCAGCTTAATCCAACGATGACGTCGATACGGTAATGGACTATATACGAAGTTATTGAACTTCAGTTTTATACCAGTATTTATTTAACTCGATCTTTTGTTACAATATTAAGCAAGAAAATATTTACGGGGATCCAAAAATAATTATGATTAAAAATAACAAAATCCGACTATTTACACACGTTCATGATACGGTCTTATTGTCGGTATATTGGTATTACTGTGAGGTCAGACGAGCGTAATTTTGTGAGTTGTGAGTCGCGTAGTTTGAGTTGCGTTGTTTGCGCTGCATTCGGTTGCATATAAGGGCGCGTTCCCACTATGTCGTCACGTTTTATTATCGTTGGACGACTGGCGCAACTATCTGTTCCCACTTGATCGTGACGACAATTTATCGTTTCACGACAGCCTCCTTGTCCATCTCTGGCTACGGCTAAAGCGGGCAGAGGGCGCGGGGTACGAGAGGGGAGGGCAGATAAATAAAACGTGACGACAATAGGAGCTGCGACAATCATCTGTCTTCACGTTTTTTTTCGTGACGTTTTTTATCGTCAGACGACTGTCGTATTAGTTGTTCCCGCTATGACGACAGTTTGTCGTTGTGACGATAAAAGATCGTGAACGACAGTTAATCGAGTCGTGCTATATGTGAACAACTTCATTTAAATATACAAGCCACGACACTAAACTGCACGACAATCTGTCGTCACAACATAGTGGGAACGCGCCCTCAAAGTGAAAAAACGCAAAATGAGTTATTTGCCGACTCACGGGCGTAATGAAACTGATTTTCGGTCACATCGTGACGAGCTGGCGCGGGTGGTGGTAGGGGTGAAGGAAGGGGTCACTTTGGTACAGGATGCGCGTGAGTATAGACGTTTCTTGCGAAAATGATCGATATGGAGGTTAAAATATAAATAATTGAACAACTTACTAGATTGTTATTATTAGTCTTTCCTCTGAACTGATGGCTTTTCTCGTATTTGCATCTGACTTAGTAATAAAAGGTTTTCCTAAGCTTAATAATTCTTGAAAAACATATATTGGCATGTGGTAGTACTTAATAAATTGATCTGAATGTTCACATGAACTTGTATATGTATAATATATGAAACTGCACACACTTTAATTGTTTCATATTGAGTGGATGTACCCAGCTTCTTTTTCTAACATCGTCTTCTAATGCTTCATAAATGCATACTATTTTTAATGGATCCATTACAACATTACATTACGACACAAACACCCAGTATAATTGTTTATAAGCAACTGAATAAAATACGTTCTGCTGGCGCTTCAACCAATTTCGGTCGAGCGCAAACTGCGCAACTCAAAAAACGCAACTCACAACTCACAAAATTAGGCTCGTCTGGTCTCACCCTTAAGCTTAGGAAATTTTATTTATAAGCAATAAGAGCTACCTGCTTTTTAAAATGGCACAACGCCCTGAAAAAAAAAACTTTGTAACATAAGATATTACTCAAATTAGGAGATTTCTCTCATTGCATTTAAAAGATCTATGGTCCCATCAATTTATTATTGCATGATTCCCTTGACTTCTTTCATTGCATTTTATAGGATTTATCCAGCGAAACTATTTAAAATTTTTTTTTGGCATATTGTATTTTGTTAATTAATTGTCGATTATCATTATCATCCTTACACATTAATTTCATAACAGTGGGTGCAAAAACTAGTTAAAATTAAAGCTATGACGTAGTTACAGACTGGCATGATGAAACTATAAAGATCCCTATGTTTACGTTATATTTCTGAGTAGCTGGATTTTTAGTATGTTTTTATTTTATTGCGTTGTATCTTTTGTATGGCGACAAGTGAAAATCGGACGCATTGTAGATGCGGCGATAGTAATCTGCCTGATAGTAATATAATTATATTTATAAAGGATAGGTAAGCGCGGTGCACACGTACTTAAGATCAACAGCGTCAATTTAGCGCCATAACAATAACTTTATACAGTAGGTACTTCTCAAACACGAATATTGAGCGTGATAAATGTTAACCTTTGTTAACAACAAAACAACTTAGTGTTTTTCTAGAAAATTCTCAGTAAAAGATTAACAAGAGGACAAGTGTTGCACGAAAGAAGGCTCCCCGCATGACGTACATACCATTCCTTTCTTGAACGTCTTGCGCATTCTGGGCAATAATCGGCGAGTAACATACGGCGTACGCTACTCGCCGATTAGCAATTCCTTTCACAGCAATGGCAAGCATTCTACGGAACTGTATCTTTTCGTATCAATGAATACGAAAAGAAGGATGAGGACAATTAATTATTATTATTATTATTATTATTTATATTTATCAAGGCTTTGGCAAAGCCATCAGCCGAAACACAAAGTTTAATTCTAATTCTGTAAATATGGCCGCCACAAAGAGGATAGGCAATTTGAGGCGGCGTGCTTGGATTGACTCGGGATTCCTTAAAACGGGCCGATATGGGTATTTTAGTTCGATATTCGTATAATTTCGCGTTTTAATCTTCGATTAAGGCACAATAGCACTATCCTATTCCACTTTAAACTAATTGAAAGTAATAAAAAACGACACTTTTCCCTCCAAAAGGTCCAGACCGAGTCTTTTTTTTTTTGACACGGCTATGAGTATGGCCGTGTGAAAAAAAGAAAATAAATGTAGGCCATATAAATATTTTTATCGTCGTTATCATTGACTTATGTAAGTCAATGGTCGTTATGAATATGATTAAAAATAAGTAGATAATATACACACATCAAAAAAAGTTTGCGATCAATAGCATAAGCTCCTATAATTCTTTAAATTTAACTTTATCAAGAAAAAATCTATGTTGTATGCTTTCTTTAAATAGGAATACCCTGTTTGAAATTAAAATATAAAACTATTTTTTATTATTTATTTTAAAAAATTGAGCCATTAATCATAATGTAATAGTGATAGAAATTTCATAGAAAGAAAAAGACTGTTTAATTAAACTTAAACAACAATTTATTATTAAAAGGTGTGAATTCAATATAAAATAACTCCTCCCCTGGCTCGAATACATGCGAAGATCCTCCTGGGCATGCTGAGGATCAAGTTATCCAGCATTTCCTGGGGTAACCTATCCCATTCTTCAATAGCGGCTTCCCTGAGCTCTTGAACTGTCTGGGGACGTGGCTTACGGTTCCATACTGCTCGTTTAAGAGCATCCCACGCGTGCTCTATTGGGTTTAAGTCGGGCGAGCCGGCAGGCCAGTCTAATCGTGTGATATCGTATTCTTGAAGAGCAGCATTGACTCGTTGAGCTC